GGGGGGGGGGGGGGATGTGTGTAGGGAGTCTTTTTTGTAAGATGTGCTACACTCTTTTAAAAATATTTCCTTTATACATGTTGTAATAAGGGTGATATTTTCACATGAACAAGAGCAATCGTTTTAAGAACACAAAGTAGAAAACTGTACAATATCAGCTTGCAGGCTACTTGAGGTAAGAGGACTGCTCTTACTGAGACAGTAGAGGTGCTGCAGAGGTAGTGACTCACAGAGCTCTGGCATAAGCTTCGTTTTTCAATCTACATAAAATATTACCCACAGTGTTGCCTAATCAGGCTGGGCTTTTTAAAAGTCCAGGATTTTATGATGTGTGAAACATGGTCATTCATAGTATTGACATCAAGAAAATGCCTTTTTGCCTCTTCTTTGGTCAAAAAGTGATTCGCTTTCTTTCATTTGCCTTTAAAGGTCAAAGTCTTTAAACATGTTATTGCTTCTTAATTCTGTCTGGCATTCTGTTCTCACAGCTATACTGCACATTTTTTTTTTCCCCAAATGTTACTGATTTGAGATTCTTCCTTCTTTTAAGCTACTGTGTCAGACTTTCAGACCAATTTACTTGATTCTAGCACAAATGACTATCAATCCCTGTCTTCCTCATTCAGTTTCCTAACTTACCTAAATAGCTAGAGATTTTTCTTTAAAATTTATGATAGATTTGTAATGAGGTTTTATAAGACCTCATTACAGTAGTATCACCTGCCCTTCAGTTGCAGAAGGCTACACAGTAACTTAAGAGTAATAACAAGTAGCCTTGACATGAAACTTTATTTTGAAATACATATTTATTGGTTAATTTCCATCATTCTTGTTCTCATAGCAAACTCAAATTGGATGTAAAACAATTTAACTGGTTTTGGGTGTTTTTTGCTCAGACATGAATGTTTTCCTCTGCATTGTGGGTTGTTATTTTTTCTTTTTTAAACTAGCTCAGGAAAGAGATTACGCCAGTTTTGCCAAAAGCAGTGTTTGAGTTTTATGAAGTTATTTACTGGGCATAACAATACTAGTAGTATTACAGTAATTCCAGTGTACTGTTTTAAATTTAACATGTAAATCTCAGCATGATATACAATCAGAGAAAGCATTAAATTTCTCTTTCTCACCACAACATTATCACTGTGCAAGTAGCTAGTATTTTATCTCGATTTTCGCTCGGAAGGATTTGCTGACATGTCTTTAATAGTGGGCATATATGGGCAGTGTTTTTCAAGTTGCAAAAATTCTACTCTTAATACTGAAGGCTTTTTAAGGAGTTTCCTAAGTGGAAGAACAAGTAGCAGTAAAAGAGTTTTTAACACCATAATTTCGCAACAACGCTTGGATGCACCTCGATCAGTTCAGAAGGAGAATTGTGTCCCTGATCTGTGTAGCTGTGCTACCATTTGAAACATGAAACAGGTACTTGTTAGTTGCTGAAATTTTCTGTTAGGTAGATTTTATTACTTGAATGTACCTATTTGAAAATCTGAATATAATTTTTGAAGGAATTACATTTTTGGGGCTATTGTGAATGCTGATCTTGAGTTAACTATGTCTTGCAATTGCTTCATGTATTTTGCTATGCAGTATTTTCAGAAAATGTATAGCTAAGCACTTCAAATTTTATTTTTTTTTTTTTTTAAATAAAACTACATACTTAAAGTTACAGACAATTCTACACTGGTGAATTGTTGGATTGTTTTTTCCATATTGGAGTCCACAGGCCACATACAGTAACTTCTCCTAGTCACTTTATATCAATAGGCATATGTAAGGAATTTCTGAAAAATACTCCCTGATGATTTTTAAGCTTTCACAACTAAAAGCTGGAAACTGTTCTGCAATACTGGATTTGCTGCTGCTAATTTTAAACTTTTTTTTTTTATGCTTAAGTAGTTATAAAGCAAAAGCTCGTTTCTTAATATGATCCTTAGTCTTAGATGCACAAAAGAAATTATAATTGGTTTGCTTTTTAGAAATACAAAGCATGCTGTTATCTTTATTAAATATATAAACTAGAGATGCGTCTTTCCCAGATTATACTACACACATGGAAACACAGAAACAATCAAGCTTCTCTTAAAGATGTTCAAATGTATCCTTACTTCACTTTACCTTTAAAAACTGTTAAATATAATAAATGCATTTTAACATTTGTGTGAGGGAGTCTGGACATCTGTGTCTGCAGCTTATCACAATTTAACCAATAAAAAACCTTAGATAAAATTTTTCTCCTTGCTTGCTTGTAATTTGTTTGTTGTGTATATATTTGGATGACAGATTAAAATTACAGAGATGCTTTCAGGATCACATAGTTACTGTCTTTGTATTATCTAGTAGTGTTAGCTTGGAGCTTTGAAGTAAATTATTCTGTCCAGTCAAGAATGAGAGAGTAAAATCAAAATTAACAAGCCACTATTACTATCCTATAAGTGTATATGAAGTAGACAATTGAATTGTTCAGTGTTTCAGATACACTTGAAAAAATACCATGGTTTGTCTGTGTCATTAGAACATATTTTAGGCACTTCCTTACTGTTTTATACAGAAGAGTGAAATATTTGGCAAAAGGCTGCTGGAGATATTACATGGGGTTTAAGGCCACTTGCAGCATGTTTTGTGTCTTTCAGCAGATGACAAATACAAATGGATAAGAAATGTGTTTTGTGGGTTTTGCATTTGTTACAGCAAAACATATTTTATATAATGAAATAATAGGGCCTATCAGGCTGACAGGAGACATACATGTGCTCTTAAACACTTCACTTTTTAGAAATAGGTAAACTTTAGATAAACTCTGATTCTGAAAAGTTTGATCACGTTTATATTTGCTTCTTCGCTGAAAAGTTGTGTATAAATGAAGTTTCCTCTGGAGTTGACACTGAACAACTACGTTCAAGAGTAGTACATCAGTGCTTCTTTCTGTGCTACGCATCAGGACTGACCACAGGACATATGTAAACTTAGTGATCTTGATTCCTGGAGGTGTAGCTAGAGTAAATTGTAATTCGTATTTAAAGTTTTCTTTTTTCCCTTCCCTTCCGTGTATTTCCAGCTCCCTGAAATACTTCGTACTTGTGCAATTTTATGATACTCAAAATTGCAGTGTATGTGTACTGTTCTCAATAGTGTGAGTTGTTCTGGGAAAGTGTGATAATTGAACAACATGGTAGGGTGAAGGAGATGGAGAAAAACTATTTTTTTGAAGCCTTCTCGTGTTGACTTTTAAGCCAACTGTGCAAATGAGGCTGAAGGGGGGAAAAACAAAAACAAAAACAAAAAACCCCCCAACAACCAAACTGAGTGCCACCTTTTGTTTAAACTGGACCAAAGTGTTGAGTAGCTAGGTTTTTTTAATAGATTCATATACTGCTTTTTTGAACTTGAACATTATTACTAATTGTGCCTAATTTTGAAGAGTTTTTGACTTGGAAATTCCTGTGCAGCAATGACTAAGTAAATTTAATCAGTTTTGGATCTGTGTATGATTTAGTCAGTAGCCAGGTTTGGGGTTTTTTGTTTGTTTTTTACAAGAAATATCTTACACATAAAAGTAAGTAGTCATATTCTTCAAGTTCCCTTGTTTTCTTGCATACTGATACATCTGCATTATTTACAATAAGCCCTTCAGAATTTCTGTAAATCTTAAAAGGGGTAGACTTGTGACTGAAGAAAGGCTTTAAAAGCTTGTTAGCCAAGTAGTCCAACACACAGATAACTGCAGGTTGTGTGAAGATTTGAAACTGGTAGTATGCAGGAGTTCTATGTTTAAAGAGGCTGAGAACATGGAGTAATTAATTGATCCTTCCATGATACTGTTTCACTGGACTAGTCTTGAATTTTTTAAACACAACATTCAAAATGATGAAGCTTTCTACTTAAAGTATTTTTCACTGAATGACAATATTATAAACTAAAAAGTCTTCGCAGAGTCATTGACTTCCTTAAAAAGTGGGATTCTTTGGCCCATTGCTTAAGACTAACCAGTCAAACTGAGTTGCAGATTTCTGAAATTTTAGTGAAGAAACTTGTAGCTGAAATCCATCTTGATGTTCCTTGCCTCTGATGCTGTATTTCTCTTATCTAATCAAAAGGCTCCTTAATCCTTTTAAAATGGTATAAAATAAGGCAGTATTTACAGTTTCCATTGCAGACAACAGTACTGTACTAGACAGCTTCCAGTACAGCGTGCCCACCACAAAGAAACCCCTGATCTGATGCTGTGCTGTAATCGTTAACCAGCCTGACCAAACTGCACACTCATTGTAGCATGTTCTTACCTCTTAGTCTGTGTTTTGATGTTTTACACTTGCCATTTCTGTTCCAAGGAACCTTATTTTATTGTGTATCCCATACAGAGAATGTAGAAATCAAGTGCCATTTCACTTACTCTGGACCAAAATGGTCTTTTGTAGTTTGATCACCTATGGCCAATATGTTAAGTTTTATCTGTCACCTAATATGAGACCTTCCTGGTGCATCATGGAGGTGAATTAGAGGAAGGGTGAACAGGAATGGTGTGGCGGTGTTTGAATTCAGTGGTGTAATACAGTATTTTTAAGACTTAATTTCAAATGTAGGAAGATAAGCTGCTTCAGAGCTGTCCATTCAGAATTTACTTACACCTTGAGATTCCTGAAGTGAAACAAAGTTGTAAGAAAAAGCTTCTGGTAGTTGCTTGCAGGTATAACTATTTTAATTTTTCCAAATTAAAGTGCCTTGGTGAAGCTTCTGTGTGGAAAGTGTTAAATATTAAGTGTTAGCTAGCATCCAGCTAGCCTGCTAACATCACTTAAGGAATGCATGCTCTGAACCTAATGGCTTGAGATTTGAGGATTATTATAATGATTATTTTTACGAGTTCTTGGGAAGGAAAATCTTCTGGCTGGTGTTCTGTCTTCTGTCCTAAGGAATAGATGATGTTCTTCCCTTGTTATAGGACCTAACCATGTCCAGTTTTTCTAAGATGACTTAACTAGTGTTGGTTTTGAGAACTCCTAAAAGTTCAAAACTTAACTTTAGGAGAAAGCTACAGTTATTATTGCTTTAAAAGTACTAAACTTATTTAAAAGCTCGTATTACTCTGCTATAATACTGTATTATATGTATCAACAATACTGTCTTCAAGTTAGGATTGATGGGAAAAGTATGACTGCTGAAAATGTTCTCATGACATTGGTTTTCTTTATAGAAAGTGGAGCTGTTCCAAAAAAGAAGGATCCCTTAACACACACGAGTAATTCCCTTCCTCGTTCAAAAACTGTTGCAAAAACTGGATCCACAGGCCTTTCAGGTCACCATAGAACACCTAGCTACAGCGGGATATCAACTTCTGTGTCTAGACCAGCACCTAATCCTGCAGCTTCAACTCATAAGGTATGGTAAGGATAAATACAGCAGTATACACTTGGAAAGTCCATGTAAATTCCAGAACAAACTTTGAATTTACTTCCTTTATTGCAGTATTGCAGTAGCAAAAGGTTTCTGGAAAAAAGAAGCCTAACTCCCTAAATTTTTGGCCAAGCCTATGGATCTAGACTGCAAAGTGGATTTTACAAACTGGGAAGCATTTTGTGGCTGCATGGGCAAATGGATATTAATTGTGATCACAGTAATAACTGATAATATTTGTTTTGAAGATTGCATGCGAAACTGAGGGCAGATTATCTAGGAGAAGAATAAATATTACTCCCAGTATGTAAAAGGTGGAGAAAAAAAATCCCTCTTACTCCAGAACTACAAATTATTCCCCCACCGCATTCCTTCTCTTCCAAAGCATGTATGCACAGGGTTGTATTGCAACAACATTGAAAAGCAAATTATGGTTAGATTGTGACAGAAATACAAAAGTAAGTTTTATAGTAATAAGACAGAAAAATGTTGCATTTCTTTTGACCCATCTCTTTCCCTTCCATCCTAATTTCCCCCCTGCTACTCCTACAATAAAGTAGAATAAAGAGCAGAATGGACAGATTCTAAATGAGGTTAAGCATTATCACTGCTATAACATGAAGGCTTTTAAGTAGCCTGTTAGCAAAGTATGACAGCAGTAGAAATTCTTGCTTATAGGTATTGAGAGTCTGAAACAGTTTGTGTTGCAATATTGCTAGAGTACACTAGGGGAAAATATGATAGTTAAATACAATTAATTATCTTTAAAAAAACCCCCAAACAAATAATCCCCAAACCAAAATCAAACCAAAACCCCTCTCTTCACTGGAGTCTAAGATGCCCTACTTGTGGCTGAATATGATAGTATGATTTGTAGCAAAATGCAGCATCAGAATATCTGGTATGTGTTAATGTATTAGGTCTTACTGGAGCATATGTAATTTTGTAAACAGTGTATTTTAAAAGTATCAAGTTGTTTTTTTGTTTGGGTTTTTTCCTTGCCCTCTCTCCAGGCTGTGCCTAAAAATAGCAGAACAAATAAACCTTCTACTCCTACCACTGCTCCTCGAAAAAAGAAAGACATGAAGATATTTAGAAATGTGGACAGTAATCTTGCTAATCTTATCCTGAATGAAATTGTTGATAGGTAAGTCTGAAGAAAAGCAGACTTTTCAATGCAGAAAACCAGTTTTTTGTTCAGTACAGTATTGGTCCACTTGAAATGAAAATTAGGTGGGGTTTTTTTGTTGTGAATTTGTTGGGGGTTGTTTTGGACTTTCTTTTTGTTGTTACTTTAGTAAAAGGGTGAAAATTTAAATCAGAAATGCTTATCTTTTTTAAATGCTTAGCAATATAAGTTGCAGATTTCCTCAGAAGGGTTCTGTATAAATAGTCAAATGCATTAAATTAGTCAGCTGCAGCTGAAAGAGTATCTCATTGTTAGACTAATTAGTATTCCATTTCTTTGTTAGTGGGCCAGCTGTCAAATTTGATGATATTGCAGGGCAGGAACTGGCTAAACAAGCTTTGCAAGAAATTGTTATCCTACCTTCTCTTAGACCTGAGGTAAGCAACTGGGTTTTGTTATCACAGTCACAGAATCAGAAAATGTATTATGCTTCACACATGAAGTGGTGAATCTTGAATCCTGTCTTTACTGGTTATGATTGTTATCGATAGCTGTGTGGTGATAACTGTCTTGGAAAAGGAAAATAAAGAATTTATGTGTCAAAATAAAATACTGCCACAAAATTCTTTGTCTTCTGGTTAGTGTTGGAGAAAGTGACTGAGGCAATAGCTTAATAAAAATAAATAAAACCAAAAAAACCCCAGCAAACTACAGACCCCTAAAACAACAAGGCAAAAACTAACAAAAAAAATCCTGGAAATTTGTGAGACTGACAGTTCCAGATAGGTATAGCTGTGTGTCCAACCCTATATGGACATGTAGATGACAAAGCCCATAATGGCAAGAGTGAAACAGGTGAGATTTGTATAGGTAAATTAAATCATGACATGATCTGATTTGAAAAATAGTAAATTGGTATTTTGGTCATGTTCTCTGTGTGGATATTGGCTAGACATTGTGAATAGTCTGTGCACAGCAGGAGGGGATGCAAAGAGTATGCTGAGGTGTATAACACTTGAGGGCATATTTCCTCTTGGCTGAGTAGAAATTAGTCATTTAGGCTTTTATGTTATTTATTGTAGGTGGTATGTCAGCTACTATGACTCCCTAGATTCCGGTCTGATCTAGGTACTGCTGGAATATTCAGAGCCACTTTTATTAAGAATTAAACTGACTGTTTTCTAAAGTGGACTTGCTGAAAGCTGCTGGACTCTTGCAGTGATTGCATGAGATGATTTACTGCGGTGATGATTATTCAAGCAAAATTGCTGTTTGTTCTTTGTTTTCTTATGCATCTCTTCTGTCACATTGATGGGTGACTGGAGTTGCTCTGTGGTCTGCCTCTTTTCTTTAATGCAGTTTCTGGTTTCGAAGCGTCATATGGAAGAAACCCTAAACCTGGCATAGCATCATAGGAATACTAGCCCTGAGGAAAACAAAGCTTTGGCATAAATATGCATGCTCTGGTATTCTTATGCAGAAGGAAAATGTCATTGTACTGTCTGTTATTACAGTGCTTTAGTATTTCAAGCTTTTGTTGTTCAGTAACACTAATACAGTGAGCTGGGTAGGAAGGACTTTGAGATGTGAGACTTGAAATAGTTATGACTCTTCTGATAACAGTTGACATTTTCAGTAAGGTCTTTGTATTACTGTAGCTAGCAATGAGCCTGACCTTGATATAGGTTGAGATACAAGGACAAAATCCTGTGAATTTTGATGTGTTCCTCTGAAGAAAATAGGTTGTTTTTTTCTTTCCTTGTAAATCAACATGGTAGATATGGCAACTATAGGTGATTATTTAGTAAATTAACTACTACTTCAGTTTTAACATTAGTGAGTTTTGAACTCAAATTCATATTTCAACAAGACAATAGTATTTTCGTAGGAGAGCAAGAGTTGAGTTGAATAAATAGAAAACACTGGCTGCAATCATTTCAGCAGTACAATACTAATAAAAATAGTAGCAATTAGTTCAGACCATGTTCAGGATGATTAGTCTGTTAATAAAACTTTAAAAATTTAGTGATAAGTGGCAGTTGCAGCTGAACTGTGTAGGTGGCAGTCAAAGTGAGGGAGAGTTGTAGATTTGTTCTGGACTATCTGAAAATGGTGTAACATCCTAAGAATGATTCCAAACAAAAGGAGTCAGGTAGGAGATGTACATGCTGGTGTGCAGCATGAAAAGCAGAAACACTCTGATGAATGTAGTTATTCAGGTTAAGATGCTTCGATACATTTGTAATGTAGCTGGTATGTATTAGTGAATAGGATCATGCTGGATAACTGGTTTTAGTGATTAAAGTCAAGCACAAACAAAATGCCGTGAATGATAAAATTAATATGAGAAAATGCATGTTGGTTCATCATCTTCCAGACACTACACTGGTAATGGAGCCATTTATTATAGTGGATATTGTGGAAAGCAGTGCCTGCTAACAGTGGCACTTGGACATGATGTGTGCGTATGAGAGACCCTGCTATTCCTTTTGGTTTATTGTTGGAATTACTGGAAGCTGGAATGGAGGGCTGAGTGTGAGACCAAGAAAGGAACTGCAGAACTCTTGAGGAAAGTGGTAAAGACAAAGTGCTGGGGGAAACAGGCTACAGGAATAACTGAAAGGGATGTACTCTATGAGAATTTGTAGATTTGCTTGCTGTGATGCCACATATGATGGGTGCAATTTTATAGTGCAGAGGAGATGAATACAATGCAAATTGAGAGGGAGGAGATTATTATCGGCAGCATTTAGAGAGAGTAGGTGGTTGTTAAGTAGTATTTTAAATAGTTTCGGTGAGAGCTTGTCTTCTCAAGTTTCATGTAATTAAGAAAAAGAAAGATGAGGGAGTTCTTCCACATGGATTTAGTAGGAACATAGATTTAACTCCCTTATTACATGCCTTCATTCCCCCCTTCTTAAAATGAATTGATACTTTAAAATTGTGTGTCTGGTTAGTTAACACTGGCTGGTAACACTGGAAAGTGTTACTGCCTGTTATACTGCCTTCACAGGGTGTCTATGCACAGAACAGTTGTAATGTAATTCAACTGTTATGTGGAAAACAATATGCATTAGGTCAAGTTGCTAATAGAACGTAGTTGTGTAAAAACCTGTACTGTTGTAGCACTGCTACTGTTGCTAGCACTGCTAGCCAGTGAGCCCTTCCTCAGTCTTAAACGTTTTCTTATGGAGGTAAGTCAACATTTTCTTTAAGTCTCTGAAGGCAAATTACGATGATGTACTTTCCAGTTATTTACAGGTCTTAGAGCTCCTGCACGTGGATTATTGCTGTTTGGCCCACCAGGAAATGGGAAGACAATGTTGGTAAGAAAATTACTTCATACATGAGTTGGGGGACTTAAAATGTAACCCTGAGGGGTGGTTTTCAGTTTGGGTGTTGTAGTAATAAACTGTGCATTCTTCCTGGATATGTGTTATGGTGTAAATTTAATACAGAAATGCAATGTTGCTCTTAACTGTGGATTTCATGGGGAAGATAATTGCTAAACTGTTCTCTATTTTATTCTCTTCAATATCACAAGTAATATTTTAAAACAAATTAGCAAGTCCAAGTTTCATTTTCAGAGAGAGTAAAAGTAACGTAGTTAATTATGTACAGCAGTGATTATCACAAATGGTTTACTCTCCACTAAAACATACTAGAAGTATGTTTTGAAGATGGGGATGGAGCACATTAGCAAGGAAGGGGGATATCTGACTTACACTCCTTGCATAGCAGTGTGGAAGTGCTGTGGAACTGTCTGGCTGCTGCATGTTTGCTCAGCCTGCTGTACTGGGTTCAGGGGACTGGAGGGAAATGGCTGTGCATCAGCCAGGGATTGTCGCATGTCCTGCTGCAGCTGAGCCAGGCGCATGGTCCTGCATCATATGGCGTGGCTGCGGCTGCACGCTCCGCTCACTGATGCCGAAGCTGGATCAGCTCTGAAGCACAGGAGTGTGAATACTGAGCACCTCACTTCGCCTCATCTGTTTTGTTTTACATACTGGAACATAATTGCTAATCACTAAAATTAAAATGCATAACCAGGAAATCATAACTTCTTGAGTATAGTGAAACTGTTAGAGGAGAGTGTTCTGGTTGAACTACTTCTTTTTCCCAGCCTTCCCCTGAAAACAGTTTTTGTATAGATAGGGAAAGGATAAAGGAAAAAAGCCCCAACATAATATTTAAGATTATTTGATCCAGCTGCTACTCTACCACCCTAAATTAGTTTGTTTAAGATACTTTCAGATACTCAGGATACATTGAAAGGAGCTGGAGACTTGTATTCTTCAGTAAGCAAGTCGTAGTTGGTTATGGTGATGATGTGATCACAGAAGTCGAAGGGAATCTGGAAACTTTTCTAGTGGTTCAACCACGTATCCATTCCTGTTTGTAAGTGGCCTGTGCAGAAGTTTTCTGTAGCATTGTTCAGTAGCAAAGGTGTTCTCTTGGAATGAATAGAGGTTTTCACAATGATCAATCAGGATATGAGTGCTAGCTACAGAAGCAGAGTGGTATCTTCAATGTGGTGTTTTTAACAATACTGTTTTTTTCCCCCCTCTCCTAGGCCAAAGCAGTTGCTGCAGAATCAAATGCTACTTTCTTTAATATAAGTGCAGCAAGCCTAACTTCAAAATATGTAAGTAGCAGCTGTAAATTACATTGATTTGAAAACACATGCTGTAATTGGGTCTTAAGAGGACCAAAGACTTCTGATGAGTCCTTGGTGAACTGCTAGCCTACAGTGAACATAAAACTTTAAAAAGTGACTTGTGAAGTAAAAAATTTTGGTTTGTGCTTGTAGTAACTCAATGTCAAAGGCTTTTGCAATTCAGGATGACCCCAGCTGTTACACAGACGAATGGTTGTAGGCTTTTTCTTCTCTCAAAAGTAAATGAAATGGGTCCCATCTCCCTTTCGTTGTGATAATTTAGTTACTAAATTCTCTTGACACCTCAGTTGTAATCATCAGTGAAGCTGTAATGTTTCTAAGACTTAAACCATACTGTTGTATGTAACACTGAACTAGTGGTAATCTGAATGTGTATGAATGGACTGAGTGTGGCTGGTAACTAGCAGGATTTTCTGTAGATCCTTATGTTAGCTCTTCTGTAATAAACACTTTCTAAACTCCCTCCCAAAACAGTTTATTGTTGTTTTAGGTGGGTGAAGGAGAGAAACTGGTGCGTGCTCTATTTGCAGTAGCCAGAGAACTTCAGCCTTCTATAATTTTTATTGGTAAGACCTTAAATGTTGTTGGCTTTTGTATATTTTCTTAAAATAGTTTGACTTATTAAATTGGGATCATCGGGTAAACTTCTTTGGGTAATTCTGCAGTGTACAGCAGGTGTCTCAGATATGACCTGCTGCCTAATCAGTACTGTACAGAGCATGTTAGATTACTGTTACATTATTTAATTGGTGTTAACAGTGGGAAGAAATGCCCTCAAATCCACAAATACTCTACTACCTTTACAGAGTAAGTCAATTTATGTACTAAACTTCAAACATGAAAATAGGTTTTGCTTGTCCTGAGTTGCACTTTACTATCAGCAGGGTTTTTTCTCCCATTTGTAGTTGGTGTTACATATTCAAAGGTCAACATGTTGTACTGTCTGTCTCCTAGGGATTAAAGATCTGATCTCTCTTGTTGGAGCCCTATATTAGCAAAACAACTTCAACAAATATGAAGGCTTTAATGTTGTATTCTTAATTAAGATGTGTTTCTTTGTTTTTCAGATGAAGTTGATAGCCTTTTGTGTGAAAGACGAGAAGGTGAACATGATGCTAGTAGGCGTCTAAAAACAGAATTTTTAATAGAATTTGATGGTGTAAGTATTTAGTCTTGGGTATTGTTTGATTTAGCTGAATTGGCTAATGTAGTGAGTGTCGGTACAAGCTACAGATCAAGCACAAATAGGATTTGGCTGCTGCAGTTTAGCTCTGTCCCCTCCCCCCCCCCCTTGGTTGGCAAACAGCTTTTTTCTATTGCTGTTATTTTTTCACCTGCTTACTGTAATATTCTCTAAAATGCAGTCTGGGATAAAAGGTATTAATCTGAAGAAGAGCTGAAATAATGGATTGAAAGACTATGGATGGAGAAGAAAGGGTAACAAATGGCAGTAATAAAGGAGCTGTGAGAACAAATGTTCTTACCAGGGCAAGAGGGACACTTAAGGGTTAGGTAGAGTTGAGTCCTTGTTTGGAATTGCATGTTTTGGTGAAGAACATCTCTTCACTTGGCAAAGTAAAATTATTAAATAGCTTTTAAGTAGTATCTTTCTGGTTTTTAAGGGATATGTGCCACAAAAGTATGCACTGTGAAAGAGGTAAGTGAGACTTGAGGAATAAGGATTTCAAACAGATCATGGGTATACACAGCTCTGACATGGAAGGATTAATTTCTGTGTTAGTATGGTTTTTACTGAGCTGTAAATTTTTTGACATCACAGCCTAGAGATGACAGGATACAGTATGAATATATTTAATAGCATATATGTAATACCCAGGAAAAGGACTGGGGTTTCATAGTTGGAGGGGGAACAAAGGAGTATCAGGATATTTTTCTGCCACACAGCACTGTGTCTTGTATTGAACAATCTCAGTTTATATTCCACTAGAACAGTGGCATATTGCTGAAGTTGTAGCAATAGTAATGAGGTACAGAAGAAGTTACATAGACAAGAATGCCAGGAAAAGCTTCTGCAAAATTGGATGAATCAGGACAAATAATGCAATGTGAGAGTGATACGCAGAAATTACTACACATACAGTTTTCCCTTAAAATGAAAAGGGGAAAATAAAACGTAATTAGTACGTTAGAAAACTTTGGATTAAGGTATATCTAGATCATACAATATTTTTGTGGAACATTTTGGGCTCAGTAAGACAGCAGTGAACTTAAGTCTATGAAGGATTTGATGCTAGGTGAATAATAATATGTTTGAGATAGCCAGATGTTTTCTCTGAAGTCTAGAAGCTGTAAGTCTCCATATTCTTGGGTATAAAATCAAGTCTTGCAATAGAGTGAATTGGGGGGAAAATTACTGTGTCTGTGTACATAGCTTACCATATTGATTACTAGCTTCTTGTGAGACTCATTAGATGAATCTGATCTGATTTAGTGGTTCTGGCTGTACCGTAGTCTAAAATTTTGATTCTGTCTTTCTCTGTAGGCTTCAAAACAATGTTTGGTGTTAAAACAAACAACAGCAAAAAGTCTCTAGCTTTTAAGCATAATTATCTCTGGATGACTAAACTTCTGAGTGCTTTTTGTAGTCTCATTTTTTTCCAGCATTGTAACATGCAATTCCACAGCAGCATTTGTGCTCTTGCAAGACTCATTTCAAGCGATATGACTCGGGCATAGTGTCCTGTGTTTTACATTTCTTCTTTTGCATTTTACTTCTTCCTAGTTTGACTTTACATTTGTCTAAAGAATGTTTTAAAGCTAACTGCATGGAAAAAAAAAAAAGCTTATACAGTAAGATCCCATCAGTGTGTTGAATGCACAGCAAGTCTCTAACTGGTTTTGTTGTGTTACTGTGTGATGTGACCTGAAAGCTGCCTTGCCTTTCTGCATCATATAGGTGCAGTCTTCTGGAGAGGACAGAATACTTGTAATGGGAGCAACAAACAGGCCACAGGAGCTTGATGATGCTGTTCTCAGGTATCAAAATGTCTCTTTCTGTGTTTGCATACAATAATACTATGTTCATTATGAAAAGCAGGTTTTGCTAATTAAGTGTCTTGGTTGTTTTAAGCTTTGAAATAAGTAATAAAGGCTGTTTAGCAAGGTGAACCTCTCAGAGGTGCCTGTCTCCTCTTTTGGGATACATCTGCACAAGCATGACTGCCTTAGAATTATCAAAACCAGCAGGACCTGTTGAGACCAAATCAGCATTGTATAACACTCGTGCGATTATATATTGCTTTTTAAATATTTGGATCTTAATGGCAGGATGAAGGAAGAAATTTGACCGGTAAAATGCAGTATTTATTCTCTGTGAATACTAGACTTCTGATGTCCCATGAAATTCCAGACCTTGCTATAGATTTGCCTTGGGACTTCTTCGCTACCAGTTGTCAACTTTCTTCTCTTTTCATTCTTGATTGAAGAAAATAGCCATGTCAGCACTGTCTGAACAAACAAAACACATTTTTAATTATTCCAGAGACTCTTTGTGTACAATGAAGAGATGCTGCATTTTGTTTCTGGTAGTCAGTGGTATTTCTACCTTTAGAGTGTTTTCTTTCTGGGAGAAGTCTCATGACTTTAAGTAAGAGTAAGGTGACAGCAGTGGCTCGTGCATATTGTTTGTTTGGTGGTGGTTGGTTGTTTGGGTTTTTTTTTTTTTAAACCTTTAGTTCTACTTCCTAGAATTTGATCATGTAAGTGAAGTTCTGTCATTTAGTTTGATAAATGTTAGATCTGTATGCGCTAAAAATATATAAAGGGGTATGTGTGTGTGTATACATATATATGTTCGTTTTTTTTGTAGACGATTCACCAAACGGGTATATGTGTCTTTACCAAATGAGGAAGTAAGTATTGTTTTCCATGCATCTTCTTCATTTTAAGATCAATTTTATTTAAAGAGTATAAAATACATTTCATAAGCTATTCTTTACTTGCCCTAGTGGGTGATTACAATTCTGTGAAGTAACTTCTGGCCCAGCTTGGCCATATACACTGTGCTTTAATTCTGGCAACTGTCTTAAGTTTTTGCATTTTTGTCTTACAAGTGCTAGTAGCAAATTTGGTAGTAGCTACTCAGTATTTCTTGGCTAGTGAGGTGCTGCTTATATACTGTCAGGCATGGGCAAATCTGAAGTAGGACTTGCAGGAGCATGTTTGGCTGGAGAAGAGTGTTTATTATGAAAGATGAAAGTAGTTTTCTTAATGTTTTTCAGCTCAACAGTAGATTAGGGTTTTTGATGAGGATTCTAATACATTATTCTTGAAGCAGTTTGACCCTTGATCTCATAACCCCATACAAGCTCCTGTGAAGAAAATTAACTCTACCCCAGCAAAAACTATCACCTTACCCTGTCTCTTCCCCTGCAGAGTTGATAGTATATAGTCTAATCACAGAAGCATCACAGGCAAGTTTAAACTAGCAAGGCACAAAAGCTAACCTGACAAACACATAATTTTGTTGTTGCAACAGAATTTTAAGTGTACCATGAAAATCAGTTTTACATGTGATAAATGTATCTTCTTTTCAGACAAGACTGGTTTTGCTAAAAAATCTTCTAAGCAAGCAAGGAAGTCCATTGACCCAAAAAGAGTTGGCACAACTGGCTAGGTAAGTATTTTGTAACTACACTAAATAAATACACTCATCTACTGCATACATTCAGATTGTTTTATATATTCCAAATGTAACTAATATAAATCATCAGACGGTGACAATGCTTGCCGAGAATGAATTGCATGCATCTTGGGAAGATGGTCTTCTGTCAGGCTGTATGAAAGCGTTTTACTATATGCTTATATATAATGTGCTTATTTTCCCCTACACCACCTGGCTGGGTTTCTGTCATTGAAACATGCACATTAGTGCTTTTCTTTCTGAGGTGGAGGGAGAGGGTTGCTTCTCTCCACCCATCCCCCAGGCAGTCCAGCTCTCCTCTCTGATGCAAAAAGGCAGTACCAGTTTTGACTTGACATGCATTTCCAATCAAAAACAACTCTTCTTGGCTTGTCCATTGCTAAGTTTGTTTCTACCAACACAGCAGAGCAAGCACTGGATAATTTTATATTCTTTTCAATTTCATATTTGATTGGGAAAATGTGGGTTAAATGACCTTCCTGTTATGAAGTTGGTTTATGTTTTTCATCATCAAGATTGACACAGTACTGCTGTTTGTCACCCTCAGTAATCACAAATGTTGGTTGTGGGAAGTTAACTAAAAAGTAGGTAAAGCACATAGGGCAGGAAGGAGTGAAAACTTAGTGTGAGATATCAAAAATATTCAAGTGAATATACTTTGGTCTCTGTTTCTGTTTGTGATAGCACACAGGAGGTGAGTACACTCCTAGATGCAGCATTTTTCAGCCCTGTAATGTTAGTAATATTATAGAAATCTGATGTATAATCCAACTGATAAATTCTCTCTCTACTTTTAAGGATCTTAGGCCAGATTTAGGCTGCATTAATAGCTAATTGGAGGAAAAAGATAGCGTCTTGGATTCCAAGTACAAATTTATGAACCAAATTACAAATGCAGTTTAAATGCACTTTTGTTATAAATGGTTTAGCCAAAATATAAGAGTTGAGGTTCCTTCCTGCTTCATCTCCCATCTTTGTTTTGAAAGAGATAGGTGTTTAACCTCTTTCATGATTTTGTGTTCTTTGGTCCTCAGCAAGTTTTTATATAAACTATAGCAGAAATAATTATTTCTAGAAGACTGAGCTATGAAGTTCTTATTACATCCAGCCACTGCTCTACAAGCTGTGTGGATTTTTTTTGTGGGTTTTAAATTTTGCGTTTCTTTTCACTTATGTTGACAACATGTATTGATGGCTTCCTGGTTCAGTGGAGTATTTCTTTAACCTGCGAAGTATTTCATTGGTTAATTTGGAAATGAAGTCTAATTCTGGAAAAGCTCCCAAAAAGATTGGGTCCTTGGTTTGATTCCCCCCCACCCCCACTCCCCCTTTGTGGTTCTGAGGATTTGGATGACAGTTGAGTTTTTGGGTTTACAGTCATCTGTGACCAATGATGACAAACTCTAGTGGTACGGCATTCTTCTAAGAGAAATAGTGAACATGTTTGAGATTTAGTTTTCATCTACAAATCCCAGTAGGTTGCTATCTTTTTGCTTTTCCTAGCATGTTATTTGGGACTTGACTATCTGCACTTAAAATTCTGGAAAAGACTTAAATATAGATTATGTTAAATGCACTTCTGATTTATTAAACTTGCAAAACAACATCAAAATAGTACTTCTGATTAAGTAACATTTTAATAATCTGCAATTAAAATGAAATGGTTTGAAGTACGTTTGTTTTTTCCCTCCCTTTCTCCCTTCCCCCACTTTTTCCTTTGACAAAGAATGACAGATGGATACTCTGGAAGTGATTTAACTGCGTTAGCAAAGGATGCAGCGCTGGGCCCTATTAGAGGTAAGCTGTGTAGCTTTATATTTAGGTTTTGAAAAAACTTGGTGCCCTTGATATTAGAGATATTTTCCTATATCTTTATAAATCTTAAACCTCTGAAATTAAGCTTTTTAGATTGGATTTTGGTCTGTTCCTCATCACAGCATCTTTACCTTACAGAAAACCCTTCAGTAGCTCACCATGTGAAACAGTTTTTGTGCCTTTAGAGGAGAGCAGGGTGAAGTGTTTTTCACAGATTTGTAGAATTTTAAACTAGAGTATCTTTCCTATGCTGGTATCAGTTCTGTTGCATCTAAATTACTGAATAGCAGTGTCTGACTACATTACTTGTCTTATAAAGTGGGCAAATCTCCTTCCAGTCTCAAGGAAGGAAATACTGAAACAGAAGAAATTTTTGGTTTGGTTATTTTTTAATGTTTGAATGGCATCACTTTTTATTTTAAAATCATCTTAATGTTGAATTGTGATCCAGATGACAACTGTGACTCGAGTTTTACCTACATTTTTTTTCTTTCTCTGACATTTCCAACTTTGAAAAAAAATATTATTTTAATGCAAAGTGAATACTTTTTTTAAAAAAAACAAAACAAAACCCAAAACCAACCATACCATCCCCCACCCCCTCTTTGGTCCATTTTGCTACCTAGTTACTATGTGTCCAGTAGCCACATCTGAAGGGGGATGATTCTGTTGAGTGGAGATCAGCAGTGGGAATTCGTGAAGAAAAGATTGTGAAGGTTTGATGTTAGTTTTCTGTTTGCCAATATATTGTTCTACCTGACAGAAACATACTAAAGGCAGCCAGAGAGGAAGTGTTCTGTAATATCAGTCTATTATGTGTAAATAAAAGTTGTTGCAACTTTGTTAAATGATTTATGGGGAAGAGTCTTGTGAGAGTTTTGTGGGAGCATTTGTTTTAGTATTTTTTTTTTAATTGAGTCAGAAATCCTACAGTGTGCAGTTGTGCCACTGCACTATCTCCTTGAAAGCAGCTGCTGCAAAGTAATGGGGTTTTAACCACTTAGCTTCAGCTGTTGAGATTGTAAGGCACATCTTCCAAAATCCTGCATAATAACTGTAAACCAGAATTGCATTAGATAACTCTCACAAGAGACATGTCTCCTAAGACTTCCAATATCTTTATTTAGAGTGATTGAATTAATAATGTATGTGTTTAGGTATGCAGGCTTTACTTTGCTGACAGATGACTTCACCTGCAAGTCCATTTTGAGAAGAGACCAGGCAATGTTGTGCAACTAATTTCTTCTACCTGCCCCTGGCTTTCTATAAAACAATTTTTTTTCTAAAATGTTTTTTAATGACAGTGTTGCCAATCCTGTGTAGATTCTTTTTCTTGCACCCTCAGAGCAAGAAGTTTGCTGGAATATGTTGATGCTGTAACAGTATTACAAGTAAAAAAAAAAAAAAAGTATAATAGTGAAGGTTACAGGAATTTTTAGATCCTAATAGTACTGAAAGGGAAAGAAAAACTCTTATGTGCCCAGCCTGATTTTAATTCTGTATTCCTGGCTGACAGTACCTTTGTTTCCTGAAAATTGTGCATGTTTGAGGGGTAGGGGGGTAGGTACCAGGAAAATACGGGGGAAGGCAGCTCAGTGCCTGTGTGCTGTTCCCCGTACTTTAGGAAGAAGGAAGTAGTTATGCTACCACTTTGTACTGTGTCTGCAGTGATTGAATGTGGGAGCAGCCTGGCTGAGGAGCTGATAAATGGGGAAGGACGAGGTAAAAACACCATGTAACTTTCCGTACAGCAGATTATGTTGAGGCAGAGAGGTATAATTTTTAGCTGTTTTTTTTTTTTTTTCAGAATGAAAGTGCTTTTAACATGCTTTAGTTGTCAGAAACAGGGTTTTTTTGTGAAACTCGCTGATCTTCCTTTATTTTTACAGAATTAAAACCAGAACAGGTGAAGAACATGTCTGCCAGTGAGGTATGCTGTTCTAGCAGTTTTATTTTCTCATTTGAATAGAATGCATGCTCACCAGAAACTTTTAAAGGACCCTTTATTTACACATAATATCATACAAAATACCTAGTGTAATTTTTGGGTATTATTACCCTTTATGATTATTTTTTCACTGAAGAAAATTGTTTACAAGTTGTGATTGAGAAGAAACTATCTTCAGATGTCTGAGGTTCTTTGTGTAGTTTGTTGGTTATGTTAAGAGCACCTCTTTTTCCAATAGTAAGTCTGCTGGTTTTAGTTTCATCTGACTGTCCTATCTTTTCCATCCCGCTTAAACTGCAACTTGATCTGTCCGATGATGTCAGAGGCCTGGCTTTTATTTTCTTGCAGTGTTACTCCCCCGAAACATCCCCAGAAATACTGTGTCAAATTATTTACACACACACACACGCACTCCCCATCACACCCTGTCTTTACATAATAATATGATAAGCTGAAAGGATTTGTTGTAGAACGATGAGAACATCTGTGATAATGTGTTGTGAATGCAGGTTTACCCCCAGTAGTTTATTAACACCAGTCCCAGAGAAACGTGGGGAATCTTCTCCAGTTTTCACAGAATCACAGAATCGTCTAGGTTAGAAAAGACCTTGAAGATCATCCAGTCCAACCATTAACCTATCACTGACAGTTCCCAACTACACCATATCCCTCAGTGCTATGTCGACTCGACTCTTAAACACCTCCAGGGATGGGGACTCTACCACCTCCCTGGGCAGCCCATTCCAACACCCAACAACCGCTTCTGGAAAGAAATGCTTCCTTATATCCAGTCTAAACCTTCCCTGGAGCAATTTGAGGCCGTTACCTCTTGTCCTATTTCTTGTTACTTGGTTAAAGAGACTCATCCCCATCTCCCTGCACCCTCCTTTCAGGTAGCTGTAGAGGGCGATGAGGTCTCCCCTCAGCCTCCTCTTCTCCAGACTAAACACCCCCAGTTCCCTCAGCCGCTCCCCGTATGACCTGTGCTCCAGAACCTGCACCAGCTCTGTTGCCCTTCTCTGGACACGCTCGAGTCATTCAATGTCCTTTTTGTGGTGAGGGGCCCAAAACTGAACACAGGAATCGAGGTGCAGCCTCCCCAGTGCTGAGTACAGGGGTAAGATCCCTTCCCTGTCCCTGCTGGCCACGCTATTGCTGACACAAGCCAGGATGCCATTGGCTTTTTTGGCCACCTGGGTACACTGCTGGCTCCTGTTCAGCTGGCTGTCAATCAACACCCCCAGGTCCCTCTGTTTTAATGTTAATACTCCTTTAATAATGAGACTGGTAGTTCCACACACTTTGGATATGTCCCATCATGTCTGGATATCTCTGTATGGGAAATGTCTGTTTATAAGCAGGTCCTCAGCAAACCACTGAAAGCCCTCTTGAATCAAAAAGCTTAGCTAATCAGGATTACTTAGCTGGCAGCATACTATGATCTGAATACAGTTGTGGTAAGGGTGGGAACTTTCAGTGCCTTAGTCTCCTGGTTTGGAGAGGTACCACATAGATGTGGTTAAAAAATCCCATGCCTTACGCTTTCCTCAGTTCTTTGCCCTCATATGCACTAGCTTGCACCACCTAGTGAAATAGGAAGTTATAACACAGTCTCATGGGCTAATAAAAAATAACAAGGCAGACTTTATGATTACTCAATGTTAGTTTATTTAAAAAAGTAAATACCAATAGTCTTAAATTACAAGACTCTTGTGGCAGGTCATAGAATCATAGAACAGCCCAGGTTAGAAGGAACATTGAAGGATCATCTGGTCCAACTTTTTGTGGGAAAAGGAGCCTAGATACAATTGGGCAGGGTGCTAGATAATCTCATCTTGAAAACCTCCAGCAGTGGGGACTCTACCACTTCCCTGGAGAGGTTGTTGCAGAGAATGACTGTTCTCACTGAAAAACATTTCTTTCTTATATCAAGATGAAGAACTCGTAGAATATGCTTTGTTAAAAGTGAATACTGAAGTACTACTTGAATAAACTGAAGTACGTAAACCACTTGTGATCTTGATATCTTTCACTTTTTGTTTAGATGAGAAATATCAAACTGTCAGATTTCACTGAATCTTTGAAGAAGATAAAGCGCAGTTTGAGCCCTCAGACCCTGGAAGCATATATTCGCTGGAACAAGGACTTTGGAGATACCACAGTGTGAAACACTACTTGAAGTCAAAGAAAGTGCTGCCTAAGGAGCAATTGGTACAGACTACTGGAAAGCAGCCAGAGTTTACAGGACTTTACAGATCTTTAAGTATCTGCATTAAAACTTGAGATTAAGAAAAAATTATACAATGTGAAATGTGTTCATCAAAGCCTCCTTGCCATTTAGTGAGGATTTACACGCTGTAAGTAAGAGCACAGTAGAACTTGAGATAAGATTCCTAGCAATCCGATTATGGTTTGAACAATAATATATGTATTTGTTTCAGCTAGAAGGCTCTGATGATATTGATCATTGGAAAACCTTTTCCCTGTGTCGTGTGTGTGGTTTTTTGTTTTTAATTTTGCCATGACATTGATGTCTGGCTTTCTTCCTTATAACTACTAACTTACAATTGGAGGTTTGTAAACTTTGGTTCCGTTTCTGATTTATTTTTTTTATCCTTAATGTGCCAAATAAAACAATTTCCCTATGCAGAGAGGAAGAACAGCATTGGGGAATTACGATTATTAAAATGTAAAAAGCAGCTGGTCTGTTATTATTTGTCTTTTTGTTTAGTTGTAATGTGACTGTATTGTTCACAGAATGGTTTTAAAGAAGACCTTTGATAGCAGAACAGCAAAAAATCCCCAGCCCTATAAAACCAATTCAGACTGTCTTAAAAAAAATAAAATTACTAAATAAGAAAATAGATTAAGACATTCATTTACTGGCAGTATTTTCTCTTAACACATTTTGTAATGCTTCCATTTGTAGAATGTTAGCTTACGCTTATAGTGTTCAACTTGAAGCCCCGCTGATGTTTGAGAGAGTAAGTGATGCTAATTGTCAAGTTTAGAAATGATGCATTTCTACTCTGTGTCTTGGTCTGTTTAAGATAACTGAAAGTAAAATTTCCATTGTGATAATTTTTTTTAATCTGCACATGTAAACATTAAAATATGAGGCTACATGTTTAATACATGGCACACATTAATGTTTTTATAGCTTTCATATGTTTTGGTTTATATATTAAAGTATGGAACACTCAGCTGATCTGCTTTTTTAAAAAGAAAATGGATCTTTGTACAAATACTTGTTTTTATTATATAAATGACAAGCTATTAAAAAAAGAACCACTTAAGTGATAGCCTTTAAATACTGTAATAAAGGAAAACATCTTTGCCTTTACTTCTAAAGGCCTGACATCTTGTTTACAAATTCTACATGGATTAAACACAGATGTTTGCAAGGCAGAACACTAGTTCCTTGTTAGAGCAGGTTTGTGGGGGTTTTATTTTTTTCAAAAAGACAACTCTCCCAACTTAGTGATATTACAAAAATGCATATTGTTTACAGTTTATACTAAAGTTATAAGCTTTGTTTGCTTTTGGTCTTAACAGAAAACTTTGTTTTTAATTTTTCATTTAACTTATTTTTTTATTGGTAGGAGTAAGTCAAATACTTCTGGGACTACTCACCTGAAAATTGACTATAAATAATATAATATATTTATATATGAAAAAAACCCACTAGCTGGTAGGTGCAGTGTAAGTATAGTAATGCCCAGAGAGGACTCTGCTCACTGTGTAGTATTGAGTATTAAATAGCAGAAACTGTGTCAAAAGTTTTGAGACACAGAGATGCGGTATGTTTGGGATTCTGGTTTTTTTTTAACCAGAGATGCTTTTAACTGATCTTAAGATTAAAAACAATTAAATAAGGGAAGATTGCGTTACACTAGTATGCCTTTGAAACAGTCTAACCAAACCACTTCCAGCCTTCTAGGAGTATGACACACTCAAATGTATGTCTGATGTAAATGAAACGTGTGACTTCTGTTCCCCTGATTCACTTTCCTGGAGAAGTGAGAAATGCTAAAAGATTCATTTTCTTAAGTCTCATGTATTGCTTGCTCTGCCTTAGTTATGCCTTTAGTAGACCATCTCTATTGTTGGAGATTCCTGGCTGACTTGATCTATGTTTGTCATAGACTTTGTAGTGCTAAGCATGAATATTACTGTTTTATTAGCATCTGACAGACAGCTCAATAGCTAAGAAAGGTCCTTGATCTTCCTATTCATAAAGCATGTAAGCTTTCCTTGAGATCCTTTGCAAATGAGAACTTTGAAGGTAACACTTCTGGTTTTGAGTGTTCCTAAATATTTGTTATCAAACTCTGTTTTCCTCAATTTTGAGGAATATACTGGTATTTATTTCAAATACATACCTATTGGCATGTGATGGGTACCGGAAATGTAGAGGCAGAAGTTCTTATCTGCTAAAACACCACCAGTGCTCACGCACAAAGAGTCAGAAGTCTGAGCTGCTACTTCAGAAAGATGGACTAGCCCTTTCACTTGTTTGTACAACCCATTCAGGTCAAGAGACTCTGACTGGTACCACTGCTTTTTGGTTATCTATTCTGCCCTGATTGTCTTCTGCATAATGGTTGAACAACAGCTATATAAATTATTTAGAACATGTAGTAAGATCTCAATTTTGTTCTGCAACATCAGTTTGCCGCACAGCTGCTGGATTTCTAGCCTGTGACCAAGTGCTGTTTGGTTCATAAATCACCTTTAAATGTCTTTCTTATGCTATTTTCTGAATAGTGTTTTAAGAATAATTCTGTTCCCTTTAAGCATTATCTCGCATCTTCTGGTTTCTTGTTTGATATGTACTAAGTTTCAGCTTGGTGATTTTCATCTGTGTGTTGGATTAACTGTGTATAAAAGCAGATCCAAAAAAAACCCCCAACCCAACCCCAAAAAACAATCAACACCCCCCCACACACACACCCCCAAAAACCCCAAATACCCCTATTTCCCAAATCTATAGTATTTTATATACAACTTTGCAACTGTATTTACCATAAAATCAGATTATGTTGTAATACAGTATCTTGAATTAGAATAGGATAAGCAGGACAGCAGCTTGGATGCTTTTAACCTTTGCAAACGTTGGTGTTACATTAGCTCTCTAAACCACCATATTTTCCCCCTGATTCTACCCACTGCTTGACCCACTTTTTTGAGGTTATTAGGAAGCAGTTTGTCTGGCTCACTGCAAGTGTTTTACTGACTTAAAGTGTAGCAGTTACTGAAGGGAGGAAAAAAACCCAACCCATGCCCCCTCTTTTTTTAAAAACCTTCTTCATACATCTTTGACTTTTTGTTAAGTAGGAAACACATCTGTCTTTCTCTGTGTTGGAAGAACAGTGTCTTCTCAGGCAGCGGGTTGCTGCTTCTGGTGGCATAGCAGGAGGGGAAAACTCAAGCACTGTGTGATGCTCTTTCTTCTTAAAATGAGAATTTGTCATGTGTTTTGATGTTCCCTTTACTAATGCTGACTTTTCTGTAGAGTACACCAAACTTGTACAGGTTCTCTCCTTGCGGCTAAGAGAAAAACAACACTTGAGTATTAAAGTTAAGCCTTAAAGTAGGATATTTATACATGTCTCTCTGTCCTGTTAGTTTCTTTTACAGAGTTCAGTGTATTTAAAAATAGGCATTCTGCCCCTGCGATGTCTTTCTGACTATTTCTGCAAGTCAGTTGCTAATACAGTTTTGTTGAATATGGCCCTGCAACTTACTTTATGTAGATAACAGATGTGATAGTAACACTTTGAAATGGAGATGAATGGAATCTCTGAACTGAGAAGGAATTTGTTGTCACTGCACTAATTGGAGGCTATTGCTGATTTCACTGTTAAGATACTCTCAAATGTTTTTAAAATGACAGTTTTTATACATGTAACTTAGACAATTAACCTTACCTTCTGGCATAGAATAAGTGGTATTTTTTCTAAACAAGCAGGTTTTAGCACTGGTTGGCATCTGCTGCTAAGTCAGTCTTGTGAAATTTAATTACTTTTTACTGTGAATACTGCATCAGATCTGCTGGCCAATTTAATGGAGATGTCTGTTTTGCCACCAGTATGGAAAGCAGTGTTTTCCTTAGGGCTTCCTTAACCACCAATGGTGAAACTTTGTGCCCTAGATGCTTACATTGCTTTCCTCCCCAAGACATGGATAATGCATAGCTGTGCCCAGGACATGTTTATGTAGCTGCTCCAGTGCTTTAGCGATGCTTCTGCATGTGGCAGCTTTGGGAGGTGGCAAGTCCTATCCTAGGTTACAGATCTTGGTTCATTATCTGTGGTGGTCTCGAGCTTTTGTGATGTTATTAGTGTTGGGGTCTTCTACCAGATATGAAAACTGGAATGAAAAGTAGCAAGCAGGTAGTGAATGCAACTAGTTATCTCAGTCATTGTGCTAATTAGAGGCAGTTGCTGATTTGATTGTTAGGTTCTCCTGAGCTGCTATTTAGTGTTGAAGGATGTTGTTTTGCTTGCCTAAGTGAATTTTCATGCTTCAGATGATCTGCTGGTCATCCTAAGAGATAACCAATGGATCAGTTGTTTTCTTTTAGATGTTTTTTCTTTAAATATTCTTTTCAATATTTTTCCTTTCAAATATTGTAACTGTCGTTCCACAGGATGAGGAAGTTAAACTGTTGCTTCCTGCAAATACGAAATCATCTTCTGAAGTATGGAGAAATGCATATTGTGCTTCTCCTGCTTCTCATGTAAATCGTTAACTGTCTTAGAGTGGCAACTGTTTACTTTGTCAATAACTACCTCCCGAGTTTGGCAATAATTGGCAAGGTATACACTCCTCTAGTGGATTAAGTATATTGGCTAAACACTGTGGGTTCTTCAGAGTTTGATCTTTTGATTTGCAAATTCCTGACATCATGTCTGGAAACTGGTAATCAGCCTTGTTTTGCTGTAAGATTTTCCTTGCCTTCATAAGACTCACTTCTTAAAATCCTGATTCGGAGAAGTGGCTTTGAGGAAAAAGGTCAGTGTTCTTTGTAGTTGGTTAACAGAGGTGTATTCTCCTAAGATGCTAGGGGTGTAGCCTCTCGGTTCTGCAGGTTTTTTTACCATTAGAAGTGGTGAAGAAGGTACTTGAATACTCACACCTCTCAAAGGGACTGGAAATATGGAAACTGGTTTTGCCACATGATGCAAATTTTTATTCATGTGAAGGGCTAGTCAGTATTTTTCAGAAATCTGGATTAAAGTGACAAAAACCAAAGGTGGAGACAAAACACTATACCCCACCTCCATTAAATATATTGGACAACTCCAGTCTGGGATGGGGTTAGTTCTTGTATTTTGTTGTTTTGAAGCACTTATGTTTCACTGTTCTTTTAAGAATGTTTTTTGAAATGTTAAACACCATTTTATTAATAAGCACTGTAAAAAAGCATGATGAGCAGTCACATAGCTTTAGCTTCACAATAAAATGTTGCATTTGTCCTGTTCTTACTGTTTTCTTGTCTGTTTATCAGATAAAATGTCCAAAATTAAGAGCCTTTTCATTAAACATGAAGCTAGTTTAATTGCTGCTGGTTTAAAAAATAAATAAATCGGGTGTATACCACATGATGGAACAATAAATATGTAAATACCTCATTTAGTTTCTAAAGGACATAATTCAAGTTCTTAAAACTAATGTAAACAGAAGTGCTACTTCCTAAATAAATGTGCTGAAACCTAAAGTGTGTGCCTATCCTCCTATCCCTAGCCTTGCTAAGTCACAGTGAAAACAAGGAGGTTTCACATAACTATTTCTGGTTGTCATGGTGAAGTCCTGAAAAAAAGCTATTTGGAGCCAATTGCTATAAAAATGGCACCATTTCTTTTGCTGGGGGGAGAGTCCTGCTATTATTTTTGAGGTAACAATCTAAATTCTTCACTTATCCCCATTTCCTTACTGTTTGTAATTCTTCCTAGCCATTGTCTTGAGGCTGCATCTGGACTACTAACAGTTGCTGAGGCTTTCTCACAGTTAAGTCCTGAAGATAAGATTTAATTTTTTTTTTTTAAAAAAAAGTTGTATTAGAATAACTTTAATATTACATTTCTGGCAGTATTGGTGTGTCTCAAAAAGCAGCCATGACCACTGCCTTCAACATGTCACTGTATATCACTGTTAAAGCAAGGAAAGCAAATAAAAATCAGTAGAGCCATCCATCAGGGAAAAAAGCCCCAATGTTTTGGGCTGAATCGTAAGAGCTGTTACTGCTTTTGTCAAGCATTAAGTCCTTGGGATAGAAAGACACCCTTGTCCATGCAGGATAATTATCCAGCATCTCTCTTTGGCTGAAATGCTACTACTTGGAGGTGGATTCTGAACTACTGAAATTACTTCAATTAGCAATTTTGTGTATAGGTTACAGATACTCAAACAGGCTTTTATTCTTGTAGAGGAGATGCTCAGATAAATGTAATGAAACAAGAGCCTGAAAACAATATTCTAGCATTTACTGTGTTGAAATCTACACAGATTATGGATTTGGCAGCAGAGCCTAGTCTGAAGTATGTTAGACTAATTAAAATAAAACTTTTCTCATTCCAGCCAAGATGGTGTGAGACAAGGCATATTTTGGATGAAATCTCTTTATTTCTGTATCTCAAAATATTAAGTTTGCCAGAAAAAGTGAGAAAAATTATACATTTTGTGTTCATTAGGGGTTTGTTGTTTTTTTTTTTCACTCAAGCCATCTTTTTGCAAATCTCCAGATACTTTGTAAATTTGTGAAATCCAGCCTCTTTCCTGCAACAGTGCAGACAGCTCTGGAACAGACAGGAGTTACACAACCTTCTCTTTTTTTTTTTTTTTTTAAATTCTGTGTGTAATGATAATACAGAAAATACCACATAGTGGTGAAGGCAGAAGGATATAATTTTAACTAAAATCCATCTCTCAACACATGCGAGTGATTTACTGGTGCTGTGGTGTAGCTAAAAGAAAAGTGGGCATTTCAGAAGCCTACAACCAACCTAATGAGCAAAGTGTGTTGTTTTTACCAAATCCTTTTGAAGTTTCCACTCTTTTTTTTTTTTTTTCAAATACATGTTGCAAGCACAATTCTTTCTAATAATGTAACATACTATTTTCAAATCTCATTTTAGTAATTTCTACAAGGCCTCAAACTTGCCTCAGTTGTAAGACATCCTTGAAGACACTTGTCAGCTGTGCTATTAGTTGCCATATTCTGTGAATTGTGGAAGTGGAATTTCTTACAACTGTTTTCCTCTTCTGGGAAGAAATGTGCTAAGATATGAAATAATCAAAAAGCCTTATAATGTGTCAACAATAAAGTAACCAAACAATTTTGTATTTGTGGAGCATATCCCACAAATATGCTACCCCTGTGGTTCACCTGATTTCTGACTTCCTGGATAAATTTGAGTGGAGGCAGCAGCTGCAGCCTGTGGAGAATTTATGTATCATAACACTGGTTGGGATTCTGTTACCTGTCATACAAATGGATTTTTACTTTTTTTAATTGGTCCCTAAACTACTTCTGTACACTGGAGAAAATGTCTTTGTTACAGCCAACAGCTTAGAATGAGCAGGTCTCATGGAATACATGACCTGTCCCGTCACTCCCAGCCAGAGTCAGCAAAGTCTTTTGGTGTGTTTCACAGAACAGATTACATGCAAATAACTTTTTTAACGACTTTAGCTATGGTAACTGGACAACTGAGTAGCCCATTAAAAGACCAAAGACAGGGCCATGTTACAAAAGCTTGTTTCAAGTATCTTCCTAGGTACAATAATCTGTTTTATTCCTATCTTTTCACTTCCCAAAGGCAGTAATACATAAACTGTTTTATGACTAAATCTTTCAGTACACAAAATCCCGTGCAGGTGTTTTGTAACACAATTTTCCTCAATAGAGTTATCCTAAATACCATGAAAACTTAAGTTCTGTATTTCGTTCCTTCTGACAGCAACTGTTAGACACAGTTTAGTGCTCTGCTAGACAGGTTACACAAAGATTATTGTCCCCATGTTCCAGAGCCTCAGTACTAGTGGCTACAGTACCTTAAATGTGGCTCTTTCTCCTCCCCCAAAGTCCGCTCTCTGCTTCCTACCACAGCAGGCTTTGGGCTGGGGTTAGGCTCACTCTAGGCCGCTCTGCCGAATTGTAACAAACGCTTCCAACGTTTTAACACGTTCAGAGCCGCGGGAGCCTTCTCAGAACTTCAGCGCACGGGGTAGTGATTACATTTCCAACAAGAGCGCTCCTGAGGCTCTGAGAGCTACCGTCCTTTCGACGTTTGGCATACAGCTGGAGAAAAAAATCCACTCCGAACCATGCGTCCTCGCTGCCGTTAATGCAGAGCGCAGCAGCAGAGAGGCCGCCTGTCGTGATGCTATCATGATTTTAGGTGTATTTTTGTATGGAGGAAAAGGTGAAACAAAACCGTCCTTGCGGTTCGGAGTATCGTGACGACCACGACGGGAATCCTTGCTTTGACTTATCACGTAAAACGAGCAGCTACAACGCAGAACTGCCGCGGGGTTTCATAGAGGACCCGTGTGGCCTAGGGTAGGCGCTGGGAACGAACCACCTGCGGGTCCCGGGGCGCTGCCTCCAGGGAAGGAGGGGGCGAAAGGACAGAGGGAGGGCAGCAGGGAGCTTCTCTGCGGGGGACGGGCGCCGCTTCCGCCCCACGCCACATCCGCTGCCGCGCGTGGCCTCACGGGCCCGCTCGTTGCCGTAGCGACGGAAGCCTCCTCCGCCTCTTCCGGCTTCGCATGGCGCCGTCTCTTCCGGTGCGGGGGGTAATATGGTGAGCGGCCCGCGCCAGGGGAAGGGAGGGACAGGGCGGGAG